CTCTTCCACACTCCTCCACACACACACTACTCCACACAGTCACTCCTCCACTCTCCTCCAACACACACTCTCTTCCACTCTCCTCCACACTCCTCCACACACACACTACTCCACACAGTCACACTCTCCTCCACACACACACTCCTCCACACTCCTCCACAGACACACTACTCACACACACACACTCCTCCACACTCACACACACTCCTCCACACACACTACTCCACACTCCTCCACACATATGTTCCTCTCAGTCTAATGTTTCCTTTGCTGTATATATTTATCTAACACCGAACATTGTGGGACGGAGACAAAACCCTCCCCAACAGGATCTAAGAGAGGCGACGCGGATCACTATTTAGGATGTGTCTAAATCCCCGAGAGAGAGAGACCTAACTGTGTGTGTGTGTGTGTGTGCGTGTGTGTGTGTGTGTGTGTGTGTGCGTGTATTTGTGCCCCTTTGCGCGAGTATAATTATAATAATAATAATTATAATTAACGGTTTATTGAAAGAGCATGGTAGCCGGAAGGTTGAATATACAGTTACATAATTAGGGAATGGGTCACTTGATTGACAAATAATATAAAAGTAACATAAGTGATACAAATATGATATATCATAACTAGGTGGGGAGAAGGTCATACTACAGGGCATTTCAACATAGTGACAGTGTAAAAGGGTAAGACTGGGCTGTTCTTATCAGTACGTGCTCGTATGTGTGTATGTTTGTATTTGACTGTTAAATACATCTGTACACGTGTGTCTGTGTCAGTGCGAATTCTTGATATCGACGACTTAAACTAAAATAAAATAATTTAAGTTGCGGCCGATAAACACATGCAGACGTGTTGGTCCGTGTTAGGTCACATCCTGGTGTTGGCGGCCCTCCTCCCTCACCACAACACCCACCACCTCCCTCACCACAACCACCACCACCTCCCTCACCACAACCACTATTACCTCCTCTTTCACCACAACTACCACCATCTCCTTTATCACAACTACCACCACCTTCACCAGAGCCACCACCTTCTCCCTCACCATAACCACCACCGCCACCATCTCCTACCTCACCACAACCACTATCTCCTTTCACACCACAACCACCACCACATCCCTCACTACAACCATCACCACAACCACCACCACCTTCACCATACCCATCATCACTCCCCACCACCAACACCACCACCTCCTCCTCCCTCACCACAACCACTAACACCACCACCTCTCCTCTTACCATAACCACTACTAACACCTCCGCCTCCCTCACAACAACTACCACCAACTCCTTCACCACAACCACCACCAAATTGTCAAAGTCATCAACAGAATCAGAATCAAAATCCTTATATTTTGATGTGAGATGGATGATTCTAGTTTGTCAATGCTCTTTGTGTTGGGCTGAGAAAGATCTTTTAAATATGCAAAATCAACTGTCAGTTCTCTATAAGTTTCTTTACGTTGTGCAAGAGATGTCTGCAACTTATAAATAATGACTGTTAAGGTTTTCACTCTGAAAATCTGACTGGGAGTCTGTAAATGTTTCACCTGGTGATGTACCTTCATCAAAGCGCCTCTTTCTTTGCCTTTGGCGTTTCTGTTCATTTTGATAATAGTGTTTTCTGCATGACATTGTTTGAGGGCCCCCGGCCTCGACTACGAAGTAATTAGGTGTCTTGAGCAGTTCTGTGAATGACGCCAAAATGATTTAAATATGCGGAGTAAATTGAAATAAGCTTTTACATGATCATTCATATAAGAGAATAGTAGTCTCTTTCTTTCTCTGGTATATCGGTTTGAAATCACAATCTGGTATACAAAGACTAAAATCACATTAACACTTTTATGTATCTCGCATTTTTTCTAATTATATTTAATTCGAAATTAATGTTATACCGAAAATTAGAAAATAAAACAAATAAAACGTCCAACTTTGGTAATAAAAATATCTCTTGGCGTCTCCTCGTTAGTGGCTTGAAGCAAAGACAATGTTAATTGCGTTTACCAGAACTTGACATTTCGAGTTTCCAGGTGAGTGAAGGAGGCGGTAAACCCGTAGTGAAGAAACATGTTACACCACCATGTTTACAGTGAGTCGCGCAGGGCACACACAATAAGGCATTTGGTCATGGTACTTTAGGAAGGCACGCTTGATTATCCACACACACACACACACACACACACACACACACACACACACACACACAGCACAGCCCTCTGACCTAAGTCACCTACAGAAGACGCTCCCCCTCCACCTGACTTTTGACTTTCCCTATGGACATTTCTGTCAAGCCAGGCGGACCTTGCTGGGTTTTCCCTGCCTCTCCTCTATTCCTTCTTCTCCTCTGCCTTTACTATCTCCTCTAATTATTGGTGCAGTTCCTTTCATCTTCCTCTCTTCCTATGCCAATATCTCTCCTGTCCGTCCGGTGGATTTCCTCTTCTTCGTCGTCTTCTCCACATTCCTTTCTTCTCATCCTCTTCTTTTTCATTGTCCCTAAATCATCTTAATTCTCTCTTTTTTTGTGATTTTTTTTGTTCTTCCTTCATTTATTGTTCTTCTTCTCATTCATCTTCCCTTCTATTCTCCTGTATATTCTGCTCCCACTTATCTCCCTCCTTCCTCTTCCTCCTTCACCTTCTTTTCCTCTAATTCCTCGTCCTCCTCATCCCCAAGTGGGTATTGTTTTCTTCTTCCTTTCCCTTTCCTTATCCATTTCATCTTCTCGTCAACCTCTCCCTCTTCTTTTTCAGCTCCGTTCCCTCCCCCTCCTCTTCCTCCTCCTCCCTCTTCACCCCCTCCTCCTCCCCCCTTTCCGTGGGCGTTGTACGTTTTATCCCTTGACCCTCCCTCCGATTTCCTCAGCCTTAGCCTTAACCCCATCCCTTCAACCCCCCCCCCCTCTTTATACCTTTCCCGTCGTGGATCGTGACACACACGCCCCCCACGCCACCAGTGCACAGTTAAGAGGGCATGGGGGAGGGGTCGTGGGAAACCTCCTCGTGACTGGTCTGGGGAATCTTCCTTCTTCTTCAGGATGTTCCTTGTGTGTCACCAGTTGAAGTAACTGACTATATTCTATTTTTTTGCGAGATTAGTTTTCATTTGTGAGGTTTTCTTCGTCCTGTGGTGAATTAATCAAAGTTTAAAGGCAAAAATTTTCTTTATTTTCCCCTTTTCTTTTTTCTTTACTTCTTTTTCTTCTTCTTTTTCTTTTTCTAATGAAATAAAGTACGGGATTTATTGGGTAATTTCCTTTTTCTCTGTTTTCAAATATTATTCTCTTCCTACACTTGACTTCATGAAGAAAATATTACGAAGAATTTTCTCATTCTGCCTTTGGGATCGTCTTCACTCGTTATAATGGAGTGCTGAGGAGACAAACGTGAATCAAGAGTTTTAGCGTTAATGCTGTTGGAAAGATTTATTTATGGTGGTTACGTTTCTAGTCAATATGTATCAACTTATTACACGTGACAACCTTACACACACACACACACACATGCACACACACACACACACACACACACACACACACACACACACACACACACACACACACACACACACACACACACACACACACACACACACACACACACACTCAAACATACATCTCCCGTCACACGATTATTATTCACGTATTCACCTTCACACATTATCGTCAGTCATCAACTTTTATCAACCAATCAAACAAACTCAATTTAGAGGCCCTCCGTCACACACTTAACGCTACAAGGTCGTGTTGAGTCCATCGGTCACACACTTAACGCTACAAGGTCGAGTTGAGTCCATCCGTCACAAACTTAACGCTACAAGGTCGTGTTGAGTCCATCCGTCACACACTTAACGCTACAAGGTCGTGTTGAGTTCATCCGTCACACACTTAACGCTGGTCGTGTTGAGTCCATCCGTCACACTTAACGCTACAAGGTCGTGTTGAGTCCATCCGTCACACACTTAACGCTACAAGGTCGTGTTGAGTCCATCCGTCACACACTTAACGCTACAAGGTCGTGTTGAGTCCATCCGTCACACACTTAACGCTACAAGGTCGTGTTGAGTCCATCCGTCACACACTTAACGCTACAAGGTCGTGTTGAGTCCATCCGTCACACACTTAACGCTACAAGGTCGTGTTGAGGCCCTCCGTCACACACTTAACGCTACAAGGTCGTGTTGAGTCCATCCGTCACACACTTAACGCTACAAGGTCGTGTTGAGTCCATCCGTCACACACTTAACGCTACAAGATCGTGTTGAGGCCCTCCGTCACACACTTAACGCTACAAGGTCGTGTTGAGTCCATCCGTCACACACTTAACGCTACAAGGTCGTGTTGAGTCCATCCGTCACACACTTAACGCTACAAGGTCGTGTTGAGGCCCTCCGTGTTTTTCCTGTCTAGGGTTTAATCCACCTGATAAACTTATAGATGGACAGATAGACAGACAGATAGATGGACAGATAGATAGAATAAGATATTATGCGTCTCATAAGAAATCAACCAATCGTTATTATCTTGGGAAATATATATATGAAAATACTTTATTATTGAGGAATTAATAGAGGAAGAATTTTATATATTTTATTAAGAAAACGCCACCTGAAGCCAAGGGGGGACAGCTGACGGTAAATTTCCATTCTTTGGACGGAAAATTTGACGGGGCTGAGAGCTTTCTTCCCCTGTATGAATCAATTTACATCTTTTTCTTTATGGGTAACTATGTAGTGTTCATAGTAAAGATTATTCATGGCTTCATTTGTTCAATTATTCATTATTTTCCACAGCTATTGAAAAACTGGATGTATTAAATTGGTCATTTTCAATCGACTGCGAAAAGTAATGGTGTAGAGTTATTCAATATTTTAGTATTGATGATCTAGTCTGGCTTATACAGTATATTCATGCATGAAGTATAACACCGTACCAGAGTATACCAGGAAAACACAGCATATCACAGTATATCATGAGAAGAAATAAGAAGGACAATGTATTAATGCAATTTTATTCACCTCAAAATAATTCAAACTTCACCACATAGAGACAGCTTATTGAGGCATGACTCTCACTCTTAAATCATATACATTACTTTGACACCATCACATAAATGTACTCATTCCTCTAACTGTAAAATATTTTGTTTCTTTCTGTAATCATTCCAAGGTAAAAGAGAGCTTAAACGACCTATGAGGAATATGAACGAGTGTTTCTTTTGGATGCGGCTATGTGATACTGATATAGTAGCTAAGGGTTGAAGATGTGATACGAGACTGTTTTGGACCTTGTGTGTGTGTGTGTGTGTGTGTGTGTGTGTGTGTGTGTGTGTGTGTATATTCATGATATGTTTATGGACTCAAAAATCAGTGCCATGACAACTCTGAACACCTGTACTGGTCATAGATATAAGTTTGTGTTTATATTAAGGTTCAGTTCACTGCTTTAAAGTCAGTGTGATGCTGATTTTGGTAGACCATAAACACACTTCAAATGTCTTTGTACACACACACACACACACACACACACACACACACACACACACACACACACACACACACACACACACACACACACACACACGCACGCACACACACACACACACACACACACGCACGCACACACACACACATTATATTCAAAACAAAATCGATCCACCTTTGAGGCTCAGAAATGCAGAGGTTCTTCGCAGAATACATATGATATTACAACATAACAAACCCGGTAGATGAGGACAAATAGTAGTCATAACTCTTTTAAATGTTTCAGTAGTGTTATCTTGATCTCTTGGAGTAGTGTGAGGGATAGATCCACTCTAATAATATACTAACAGTTGGTATTTTATGCATGTTGCTGAATTTGATAAAAGCTGTTTACAACTTTTCTTCCATTGGTTTATACTCGTATTTATCTTATGAATTACCTCCATCCACAACCGCATTACTTGCTGATGGAGGCAGTTGAATGGGTTATTCAGTAAATATAAGTATGGACACTTTCTAAATAGTTGCCTTTACATTCATCAAAGTATTTATTAAACAAATTCCGAAAGCTTCAGTTTTTGGAAAGGACTTCATCATCATAAGTTGTTCAAGTGATCATCATCAGGACTCGTTGGTTACGGCCACACAGTGAGTTTCAGCACCAGACGACGCTACGGCAGCTTTCTTTCCCACGATCATGACGCGTCGCCACTACCAATATGCGCAGAAGACACGACCAATACGATAGTTTTCCAGTCTGGTCGCCGTCTCTACAAAGCCTCGCCACACCCACCAAGATGCGTCGTCTCTACCATTATGAATATTATTACCATCCTGGACTCTTTTTGAGGGCCGGTTTGCAGACGAAGTGTGAGGTTTCCCCATTCCAGAGGCAGGTGTCGAAACAACATTTCTGGTCCTGGGGGCAGGAGTCGTCGTTGTAGCACGTGGGAGGTTTCTTGCCCGAGCACTTCTTTGTCAGGTTGGGGCAAAAGCCGGCGTGTACTGTTCGTACGGGAGAGAAACATATACAGTAGTTAAAGATGACGTTATGTGGAGTAAAATGTTTAAAAGGATGTGTTAGTGATGGATGTTTGTAGGAAAGGTGGTGAAGAGGTGGAAAAGTTAAGAAAGGATATACTTAAGTAGACTTTGCAGATTTGAAATTTAACCTAGAAAAAAAATATTGATAGAAAGGTTCCACATGGATAATTTCGGTTAAACCGATAATCCATTTGTGAGAAAAGATATCTCATACATACACCCAGAGGTGAAGTAAGGAAATGCTTGTGAAAAAGGAAGAATCATATGAATTTCTTAAGTGTTCGAAACGGTGAAACGTTTCAGGAATTTTAAGGTTTGAAAATTTTGCGTGAATAGATACAAAAATGGATAACTTCAATATTATGGATAATATCACAGTTATGGTTTGTTTTATCACCATTATCATACATCCTCTAATTGCTTTCATAAATTACATTTCATGTTACCTGTAGTTTAACTCACCTGGGCCTCTAGAGGCGAAGGAGCCGGAAGACGCAAATGAAGAGGAATAGGACTGCGAACTGAATCCTGAAGACCCGGGGCTCGCCAACCCTCCAGAACCACTGTGGCTTCCTGGACCACTAGCACTGATCGCGCTGGTAACATGTGTAGATGCACCAGCACCAGTAGTAAATCCATGAGCTCCGAAGCCAGCACCTGAACCAGCGCCAGCACCTGCAGTAGATCCACGAGGTTTGCCATGAGCTCCAAAGCCAGCACCTGAACCAGCACCAGGAGTAAATGCATGAGCTCCGAAGCCAGCACCTGAACCAGCGCCAGCACCTGCAGTAGATCCACGAGGTTTGCCATGAGCTCCGAAGCCAGCACCCGAACCAGCACCAGTAGTAAATGCATGAGCTCCGAAGCCAGCACCTGAACCAGCGCCAGCACCTGCAGTAGATCCACGAGGTTTGCCATGAGCTCCGAAGCCAGCACCCGAACCAGCACCAGTAGTAAATGCATGAGCTCCGAAGCCAGCACCTGAACCAGCACCAGTAGTAGATCCAAGAGGTTGCCATGAGCTCCAAAGCCAGCACCTGAACCAGCACCAGCACCAGTAGTAGATCCACTAGGTCTGCCATGAGCTCCAAAGCCAGCACCTGAACCAGCACCAGCACCAGTAGTAGATTAGGTCTGCCACTAGCTCCAAAGCCAGCACCTCTGCCATAGAGCCACTAGGTCTGCCATGAGCTCCAAAGCCAGCACCTGAACCAGCACCAGCACCAGTAGTAGATCCACTAGGTCTGCCATGAGCTCCAAAGCCAGCACCTGAACCAGCACCAGCACCAGTAGTAGATCCACTAGGTCTGCCATGAGCTCCAAAGCCAGCACCTGATCCAGCACCAGCACCAGTAGTAGATCCACTAGGTTTGCCATGAGCTCTAAAGGCAGCAAATGAACTAGCACCAGAACCAGCACCAGCGCCAGCACCAGCAGTAGATCCATGAGCTCCGAAGCCAGTACCTGAACCAGCACCAGAACCAGCTCCAGAACCAGATCCTGCACCGAATTTGGAGCCTGGGCTTCCAGAAGTAGTTAGTGATCCCTTAGTAAGCGAAGAAAATCTGCTACTAGAGCCTCCGAAACTTGTTGTTCCAGAGAAAGGCGGTCCGAATCCAGTTCTGTCAGCACCAAACCCTGGTTTGTGGGCACTTGTGTGGGTCCCTGTTGTGAAACTGGTTCCGTGAGAACCTTGTTGCGACCCGGTTCCAGTAGGTGTTTCGAGATTTACTGTCGAAAACTTGCTTCCTGAGACTTTGCTATCTGAAGCTGCTCCTGGTGAAAATTTACTTCCAGGTCCGGAACCTGTATGAGATGTGGAAGAGGACCCTCCTCCAGATCCAGATGTGCGAGATGAAGATCCATAACTAGCTGAAGAAAATCCACTTCCAGGTCTTGTGGACCCACTTCCAGATGTAGTACCATGTGAACTAAATGAAGTTCCGCTTCCAGGTCTTTGACTACCAGGTTTAGAACCAGGAGCACTAAAAGAAGTTCCGCTTCCAGGTCCTTGACTACCAGGTCTAGAACTAGGTGAACTAAATGAAGCTCCACTTCCAGGTCTTTGACTACCAGGTCTAGAACTAGGTGAACTAAATGAAGTTCCGCTTCCAGGTCCGGAACCAGGTCCACTCAGTGAAGTTCCGCTTCCAGGTCTTTGACTACCTGGTCTAGAACTAGGTGAACTAAATGAAGTTCCGCTTCCAGGTCTTTGACTACCAGGTCTAGAACCAGGAGCACTAAAAGAAGTTCCACTTCCAGGTCTTCCAGTGCCAGAAATGGATCCATGCGAACCGAAGGAAGCTCCACTTCCAGGTCTTTGACTACCAGGTCTAGAACCAGGTGAACTAAATGAAGTTCCGCTTCCAGGTCCGGAACCAGGTGCACTCAGTGAAGTTCCACTTCCAGGTCTTTGACTACCAGGTCTAGAACCAGGTGAACTAAATGAAGTTCCGCTTCCAGGTCCGGAACCAGGTGCACTCAGTGAAGTTCCGCTTCCAGGTCTTTGACTACCAGGTCTAGAACTAGGAAGTGAACTAAATGAAGAAGCTCCACTTCCAGGTCTTTGACTACCAGGTCTAGAACCAGGTGCACTCAGTGAAGCTCCACTTCCAGGTCTTTGACTACCAGGTCTAGAACCAGGTGCACTCAGTGAAGCTCCACTTCCAGGTCTTTGACTACCAGGTCTAGAACCAGGTGCACTCAGTGAAGCTCCACTTCCAGGTCTTTGACTGCTAGCTGTAGAGCTGTGTGTACTAAATGAAGCTCCACTTCCAGGTCTTTGACTACCAGGTCCGGAACCAGGTGCACTCAGTGAAGTTCCACTTCCAGGTCTTTGACTACCAGATCCGGAACCAGGTGCACTCAGTGAAGTTCCACTTCCAGGTCTTTGACTACCAGGTCTAGAACCAGGTGCACTCAGTGAAGCTCCACTTCCAGGTCTTTGACTGCTAGCTGTAGAGCTGTGTGTACTAAATGAAGCTCCACTTCCAGGTGTTTGACTACCAGGTTTCGAAGCAGATGCACTCACAGAAGTTCCAGATCCGGCAGTAGATGAAAACCCATGTGTACCTGGTGAAGTTCCACTTCCAGATGCTCCAGTAGTATAAGGACGTCCAAAGGAAGGTCTCCCCGTTCCAGATCCACTGGTTCCTCCAAAGGATGGCTTCCTTCCAGTCCCAGATCCTCCTGTTCCGGTAGATGAGTACGCACTTCCTGAACCAGATGCTGATGTCGGACTATGAGCGCCTAATGAACTACTTCCAGGACCGGTACCGCCGCCCTGTGATGACGTGTAGGAACCAGAATGGAAGGCGCCACTGGAAGTTTGGCCCCTGCTTGCAGAACCGGATCTTCATGAAAAAACAAAGCTTAATGTAAATCAATGACCAGTGCTTGTTGTTTGTGCACAAAATTTATGGATCATGAGAATATTGTAAGATATCTCGATATTTACAGATGAGATCAAAATACCTTATTCCAAATAATATAATTAATCTAAGAATTGTTATAAATGGTTTTTTTTGGCGTAACACAAGAGCATCTTACTGTCAAGGTAGATACTATATTAACAAATTAAAGCTGCAGTTATCAATTCTGTGATAAATTATTTATCATGAAGGCTTGTGTCGGGAAGTGATTGTGCTTAACATTTATCAGTGAGATCATTCATATGTACAAAAACGTAGATAGGGATGACAAAAAGCCATACGCAGTGTGATGCTATGATCTGATTAATGTGAAGTATTTTCAGGCGATTCTTGAAGATGGTAATGGAAACCGTGTAAGAAATATATCATCATAGAGTCACCATCAAGTTATTAGGAACTGAGATAGCTGAAAAGGGCTTACCCAGCGAAGGATGAAAAGGATCCATCGACAGATGAGGTACCGGCGGATGCTCCACTCGTGGATGACCCGGCCCCATGACCAGTTCCAGGGCCACCCACCAATGGTGTCTTGCTGCTGTGAGTAAAAGAGGACTGGAAGGAGGAACCCTGAAGCCCGCTACCTGGCTGTCTTCCAGATGGTGAGCTGACCCTGAAAAAAAGAAGTTGTTTTACAATTAGTGCTCCAAAAAGCATTAAGAATACGTATGTAACATTTCATTTGGTATAAGTATCTTGGATAAGTTGAGAAATTTTCTGAGGGCTTACCCAGCGAAGGATGAAAAGGATCCATCGACAGATGAGGTACCGGCGGATGCTCCACTCGTAGATGACCCGGCCCCATGACCAGTTCCAGGGCCACCCACCAATGGGGTCTTGCTGCTGTGAGTAAAAGAGGACTGGAAGGAGGAACCCTGAAGCCCGCTACCTGGCTGTCTTCCAGATGGTGAGCTGACCATGAAAAAAAGAAGTTGCCTTACAATTAGTGCTCCAAAAAGCATTAAGAACACTTATGTAACATTTCATTTGGTATAAGTATCTTGGATAAGTTGAGAAATTTGCCTTGGGGGAGGGCAAAGTTGAAAAGTTTTGTTGGGTATGAAGGGAAAAAAAATGGTTTGTGAGGCACTTCGATATAAAAATTAAGATAGCGACTGCGAAGAACACTACTTTTCCCCTAACTACAGTAATAACCAAGTATGGGGAATGCTGTTGAAACACCCTCATAATGGGAGCAAATAGGTAAAAGGGAATCTTTTTTATCTTCAAGTGGTTATTTTGAGATTTGGGCAGAACGAAAGGCAATTCTTAAGACCAGAATGATCATATTTTGAGATAAGAATTAACGTCTAATTAAATCATGAATAGGTTTCTTAAAGGACTGCTGTTCCAACTTGAAGCCCAAGAAGCCCCTCGGAGCAATATAATTCGCACCAACAAAGAAGTAACACTGGTACGAGTGTCTTAGAATGTGTAGTTTCTGTGTAACACAGAATGTTAGTTATCGTTGAAAAATGAGGAAGCCAGGAAATGGAAAAAAAAAGACCAGTAGAGCGATAAGAATGTTTTTGTATATTTGATGATTGGTGAGTTTGTTTATTGTGAGGTGAATGATATATCAAAGAAGGTAGAAAGGGGTGGTAATAAAATCCTCGCGTAGTATGATACAATTACTGTCAATCTGAAGACTGTTTAAGTACAGTGGTATTACACACTGTATAAGAAGAGAGCGCCATTAGCTGTTATGAAACAAGAAAGTGACACAAGGTTTACCCGGCGAAGGCTGTGACAGTCCCGCTCACAGATGAGGCACCACCGCTGCGATCCCCACCAGCAGCCGACCCGGTACCATGACCACCCCCAGGAGAGGAACCACCACTAATGTGCGTCTGGAAGGAAGCCCCTTGAACTCCGCCTCCTGGCTTTGTTTTAGACGGTGAGCCGAACCTGAATAATGGAAGTCATCTTACTCAAAATTATGAAGAAAATTACCCTGAGACTAAAGTTTGCCTGGTCATTTTTTGTATGTGTTAAAAATTTGCCTTGAGTAAAAATATTTGCGGAAAAGCTCAAGTAATAAATGTCTTGAAAATTAATTGGATCACTGAGAAATTCTGAGGCATTCAGGATATCTTTTGAAGTAGGGAACGAGGTTAAGACTCACCCGGCGAAGGAGATATGCGTTCCTCCTGAAGGCAGAGGCGCCACGAAATAGCTGCCAACTGGTCCCTTGCTGCCCAAGGTTGGATCGTTACAGTCACAGTCTTCGTCCTTTGTAGTAAGATGGTCGAGCTTAGCGGCGTAACTCAGGCCCAACACCGCCGCCCACAACAACACCACACGCACTGCCGGGATAACAAAGCCTGAGTGTTCTCATAACAATAACTCTGAAGTTATGGTCTGTTGTTCCTTAACCCGAGAATATTTCCTATTACCTCGCTCCCCCCCACCCCCCCCACACACACAGGCTGTGAAGTCATTTTGACCTTTGACTTAAAGATGAGCATCTCCTTTTAATTTAATTTACCTCGGTCTAGATACTTATTACTGTACGAGTATACTTCATTTATTTTATATAGAAACATCCCTGAATCCCTGGTAAAACCGATATCTTCCTCGACCCCTGGCAACGCTGATATAACCATCTATCTCTGGTAACACTGTTTTGTCTACTTATTCCTTGGCAACGCAAATATATCCAGCTTATTCTTGGTATACCCATTTATGATGTAACTGTCTGTCTATCATAGCACAAATTTACTCATCTGTCTTTGGCAGCACTGATACAACTCTCGCAAGATACACAAACCCAACTCTCATAGCAACACTAATTTCCCACTACTATAACACCATACAAACGTAATTATCAAGTCACTCAACACTTTTAAGTAAGAGAAAAATCTCTACAGAACGGAACAGGAACGGCACAGTATCTGACTCACTGATTGCAAAACCTCCCAAAAATATTTATATATGTTTCACAAAACAAACTGCGCCTCTTGTTAGGTGAGGACTCCTGCGGCAACAAATCTGCCGAGGAAGTGTGAGGTTTGCCATGGATCTCCTCCTTTATATATACCCCAGGCCGTGTCCCTAACACCAGCAGCAGAGCCCGAGGACCCATCAAGGGGAAGGGGGGTGAGAGAGAGCGAGAGAGGCAGGTGGGAGGTGCTAAAACGTGGGTGTCATCTTCATCCAAAACTGGTTTCCTAACAAGGCTGTATTTTTTCTTGTTTCCTCCTTGAAGTTACGAGTTTCTCAGTATCTGTGTGTGTAAACCATCATGTAATTTCAGGACATCATAATCAAGAGGTTAGTTTTATTTGATATTTTCTATACGTGGTAATAGTATGGTGTAGTATACAGAGTTATAGTGATTTGCGAGTCGTGACCTCTGACCCGTCTCCGGTGACCTCAGATGTGACTGAGCATCCAGGCACTCACGACTCGCTTGGTGTTCCTTGTTATTTATGTGTAGGATGGCCAGGCTCAGAAACATGTAGTGTGGCGAAACCTGAATTTTAAGAGTCTGGGATTCGGATCTAAAGAGTTTACTCAGAAACTTCAAGCATAAGATACAGATTCAGTCAAATTTCATGTAGTGAGAGATTCGGTTTCTAAAACCTACATACAAACTTATACCCAAGTTCAGACTTCAATATAAAGTACAGGTGTCGATTCAGATCATATAGATTTTTTTTTAGAAACATCATAATAAACCCGTAAATATTAATCATAGGTACAGTAATTCCCATATGCTGACAAGTGTATGAGAGGGACTGTGCCTTAAACTAAATATGACGTAAATATACATAAAAAACATATAAAATTTCCTCGTTGTGTGTCCAGCAATACAGTTTTACGAGCCATAAAATTACTGCCATTACATTTGATGGCGGCCTGGCGTTCACACACACTGACAGTTGGTTGTTATTGTTATTATTTACGACGAATAAAAATGGTCGTGAGAGAATTTTGACGTATGTTTAGAGAATCTTGTGTGTGGGAAAACACTAAGAGCCCTGCTGTCTGAGCTTCAAGGTCACCTGTTGCAAATGAGGAATCTTTATTAACACTCTACCGCACTCACTAGTAAACTTTCTGTATTATGATTGCATGACCATGTACCCTACACTAAGGTCTTTGTAGTGTAAATACATAACCCTGCACTGTACCTTACAATAACCAACTCAGTAATGGGAATACTGAAATCTTCTGCAGTTAATATTAAAACCATACCCTACTATAAGCGCTCCCCTGTAACGTGACGAAGACTGGGAATTAGTAATAATGTTGCTGCAGTTACCACGAGCATCACTATTACTATTTAATGTTGCTGCTGTTACCACGACCATCACTATTACTATATAATGTTGCTGCTGTTACCACGACCATCACTATTACTATGACAAATAATCCCAAATTTTTTTTTTTACCACTGCTTCTATTATATGTTTACAGCTTCGAAAACAAAGATAATTTACTATATCTATCATTACTACTTCAACTATCTTCACTATTATGATTATATTATTACTTCGTTACGACAGGTTAGGTTAGGTTAGGTTAGGTTAGGTTAGGTTAGGTTAGGTTAGGTTAGGTTAGGTTAGGTTATCCTTGCTTGTACACCTGCACTGTTTATGTAGACTAGTCCAATGTGACCTTGTATGACGATTTTGTATAAGTAATATCTATCTATCTATCTATCCATCTATCTACCTATCTATATCTATCTATCTATCTATCTATCTATCTATCTATCTATCTATCTATCTATCTATCTATCTTCTGTCAGTATTCTCTTATAAGTAAAATTAAGGAGTTTAGATACCGTCAGTGAATAGTGTGGACCCATGGTGGACTGTGTTGACAATGGGTGGGAGGAGAGGAAGGCCTTCATCTAGTAATGACCTGATGTTGACTGTTGATGACGATGATGACGGTGATGATGACGATGATGATGATCTAAATAATTATGACATATAATGATGATAATGTTAATGACAACAATAATTATAACGCCAATGACAAGGATTATGATAAAAACGATGACACTTGACTGTACGAAGGTTAAAAATGTCAAAACAAACAACAGATACTTTTTATTTATTTATTTATTTATTTATTATTATTATTATTTTTTTTTGGTTAGGGGAAACAATATATATTTTAGTCGCTCCTTGAAGCACATCACAACAAGCTCCCCAACTAACCACAAGCTCCGGCTAGATTGTACAAGCAGGGACTCTAACTATGGGGGAGAATGCACTTATAATCATCAAGGAAGGAGGAGAGAGAGAGAGAGAGAGAGAGAGAGAGAGAGAGAGAGAGAGGGGGGAGGGTGGAGGAGGATACGCGGATAATTCTGGGAAGAATAAGCGGAATCAGGATCTTGACAAGTGATCGACAGACGGGAATTTCTGCGTCGGAGTGAGGGAAGGGAGGGAGAGAGGGAGACTGAGGGGGGAGGGAGGGGTGAGGGAAGGGTGGGAGGGAGGGAGAAGGAAGGGTGGGATGGAGGGACAGTGAGAGAAGATGGGAAAGAGAATAAACGGGTAAGTGAGAGAAGGGTAATTGAGTCTGGGAGGAAGTGAAAGGAAGACTGAAAGGTTTGGGGGTGACTGCACAATTGAGAGAGAGAGAGAGAGAGAGAGAGAGATGAGGAACGATGTGGAATAAGAGAATGAGTGAAGAAGTAGTTGAATGAGGCAATGAGAGAGGGTGAATAAATGAGTAGACGCCGCGTGAAGGAGTAAATACGATTGATTAAGGGAGAGAAGGAATAACTGAGTGAGTGAACAAATGAGTTAAAGGGGGAATGTAAAAGGGGAGTGGGAAGGAGGGAGTTAGGGAGGGAGGGGTGGAAGGAGGCAGTCAGGGAAGGAGGGAGGGATGGAAGGAGGGAGTGGGAGGTCAAGGTCGAGGCTCATGATGCTGTTACCATGGTGTATATACCTCCCTCCCTCCCTCCCTCCCTCTCTCCCTCCCTCCTTCCTCTCTTCACTCCCTCCCTCGCTCCCTACCTGCCTACCTCCCTCCTCCCTAGTTGTACCGGCTCTTCACGAGGGTACACAGCACATAGCAGGTGGGAGAGGAAAAATGGCCAGGGAAGGGGTGAAAACATAATTTTTGGCTCTCCTGTAAAAACATTCCTTAAGAGAGAGAGAGAGAGAGAGAGAGAGAGAGTCATTGTTTCCGGGTTGTGTTGCTCCCTGCCACCCTCATCACCCTGGAGACGGTCGCTAGGCTGGTTCACGGTCAGTACAGTTTAACAAGTAACTCCTCCCACCGACGACCAGCGAGAAGGTCAAAGGTCGTTCAGCACCGGTCATGCCCGCAGTACCCTAACACCGCTCATGTATCCGGGTCATGATCTGGTGAAAAAGATATGCAACTCAGCTTATCAAAATAAATAATAAAAAACAGCTTAATAAAAAAAGGAAAGAATATCAGCTTTGTAAACGAATCATTACATATTAGTTTGATTAAAAATACCAATAAAATTTAACTTGATTAAGGAAAACAATTCAAGCTCATTAATACGTAATAAAATTCAGCGTACGATAATATGAATCCAAGAGGCAAGTACAGTGAACCTTGAGCAATGAACTGTTGGTGGTTAGCGACGACCAACCTGCCCCCTCCCTCCAAGAAATAATGTGTGTATACTCCCAGTACCTCACGACTAGATCACATCCTACTCACATAATATTTTTTTTTTGCTGTAGCACAGGTGATTTTTAATAGCAATAATATTAACATTAGTTTCAGCGTCTATGTAAAATTGATGGAAGATATTTTACATAGTATCGTCCCCCTGGCTCTCCTCTCTTGCTTCACAGCCAACTACTGCCTCCAATAATGCTACCACAGTGAGACAGACTTATCTGCAACCTACAAAATATCCTGTTTCATATACAAGTCTTACATGTTTCACCTCAGATAGGGTTAATACATCCTCCCCCAGGTAGCTACAGGTGTCTATAACTGCGTCTGGTGTGCTGCTGCTGCTGGTGGTCAAGGTCAATAGCCTCTTCTATAGACCTTGGTGGTGGTAACACGACTATAGGGAACTCAGCCCTGTACGTTCCGTGACAATGTCGACCTTTTACCTTGTGTGTTGTCACGAACTATAAGTTACTTTTACTAATTGCATACGTAAGGCGCTGTTACGTAGCTGATCAAATTGGGTTCCGTGATCATAAGTCAAGCTAAAGAAGATGATGGTGAAGAGTATGCTCATAGAGAGCTTCAAATGACTCCATTATGAGGGTTTTTTGTTTCATTTTAAATCCAATAAGAGTGTCTGTCTTTCGTGAAGGACAGATCAAAGTGGCGGTGAGGAAGAAGCGTTCTAACACCATGAAGTTGTTGTGTTAAGGGCGTAGATGACTGTGTTGCGGGTGAGTGCAATTATGCAGTTATTATAGTGATTTTTGCTGTGTTCCATCACCTGTGCGTATGGGAACGTTTTAATGTGACTGTGGGTGATTCAGGACACATCTACCACCACTAACTCTTTGTGCAAGAACAACATTTACAGAGAAGAAAATCCCAACAGATTATTTCCCATTGGGTAAAATTCCATCACCAGAATAATAGAGTTGACAAAATCCCCCCAGCTTAAGTTTTTAGGTCCTAATACCGTGTTAAGTTAGATAAGGTTAGATTGGCTGGGATATTGGTCGACAATCTTCCCTTTGTCGTCGTTATTATCAGTGTCCCCGTGTTGTTTCTTGTTTCTTTCTATTATATCTTACTGCAAATTTTATAAACACACACACACACACACACACACACACACACACACACACACACAAATTACTTACTGAACCGTAGGCGATAGGGCGGGACGGTCATAAGTGTACATTAGCGTGGGGAGGGAAGGTGTGCTCCTGAATATCCATGTACCCTGCGTGAGTGCTGGTGGTCCTGCGCACTGTAAAGGTCACAGTCAAGGACAACACCATAATGTAGGTCACCTCCAGAGCTCCCACTAGTATACAATCCTCAACTTCGAGCCCTCCCCCCTCCTAGCCCTCACCCCTCCGAGCC